ACTTGGACTCCTTTGATGCATGTTTTCTTTCTTGTAAACTGAGATAAAAGCTTGCCTTAATGGAGTTAAAGAAATGCACATTGATAGTGCTTTAAAATATGTCCAAATTATGCCTACTTTTCTTGTCAGAAATAAAAAAGTAAGACTATTATCAGGAATATCTTCCTGGAATATGGAAACATTATTGTAAATTATATTGCAAACTATACTTTAAGCTGTGTTTGTGTGTGTTTGTGTGTGAGGGTTTGCATCCATGCATAGGCAGGCTTCATTTACACAGAATAGGGTAGGTTATATGTGGCAGTTGAATCAACCTGCTCTCATCACTTCAAATGAATCTCCCTAGGTATTTTTTTCAAGCCACAAATCAAAACAAAGCCCCTACTCTAGCAGGTGAAATAGAGAAACCATATAAACATATGGGTAGAATAGCATATATATCAGAATTGAAAGGTCAGTCTTATTACTATTGCTAATTATGCATTTGAATCGTGCATTTCTGTGCTCTGTAAGTGGATGGCTCATATTGATTATGCGTTCAGATGTCCATCAGATTTGGCCACGGCCTGGATAATGGATAATTTATAACAAATGTTTATTTATTCATAAACTGGTAAAAATGCCAAGTCTGAACTAACTCTGTTTCAGGTCTGTTTCTCTGGTATGCTGGAAAAAGTGCCCATATTGGGGAGAACTTGTGCTTTACTCAAAACACCATGATAGGGAGAGTAAGCAAGTAAGCAAATGTATTGCTGCAACTACATGTCATTACATAGGAATGCTATAAAACAGAATAATATAACAACAAAACAATGTAATTATAAAATAAAAATAGAAATATTAGATAGAAAAGGTTCTAACAAAATAAAGCCAAAGCTACAGATAAGAATGTACAGCTGAGCAAAAGTAGCACCTTGATTGCTGCTAGTTGGAAACACAAGGAGATAAATCAATTTTTCAAAGTCAGACCCCCTTGAATTCATCTGCCATTAATAATTTGACCCTGATCACAATATGGAGAGGATTAGATGGGAAGGGAAAAATAATACTAAATTCAGTGACTAAAAAAAATGTGCTCTCAAGTAGAGAGACCAGTGGGCTGGTGTCCTATTAACTACCAGCATCTCTGTCTAATCTGGATTTAATTTCACCTTACTTGTTCATAATCCAGTGCATTCTCAAATTTCAGCAATGACCAATGTAATTGACTGCTTCTTTGGAATTAGATGGCAAGGTGCTGAAAAACAAGGCTTTATCAACATAAAGGCTTTATCAACATACTGATAGCATCTCACTGATGTGATTTGTTTCCTTTCCCATCCCCAGTGGGGAGATGTTCAGCTAGTTCAGAATACAATGGCATGGACAATGAGAAGCATGCATCAATGCGTCCATGTAACACTTCTGCTTTGTGAACTAGATTGCTTTCTGGTTTGCTTCTAGGTGCAATTCAAGGTGCAGGTTGATACCTATAAACCCCTATCTGGCTTAGGGCCTCGCTATTTGAGGGACCATTTGTCTTCCATAATATCTGCATATCTGGTTCAGTCTGACTGGATTTGTACACTCTGGGTTCCATTAATAAACAATGCCACCTATCAGGCCCCTGAAGTGCACCTTCTGTGTAGCAGTGCCAGCCCTCTCCGATGAATCCTTCTCCCAATTCAAATGAACCCCCACCACACACACACACACACACCATACTAGCATTTTCAAGGAAACTAAAAATCTGGCTCTCCACCCAGTGAGAACAACTGACACCCCTTTGTTCTTTTTTTTCTTCCCCTCCAGGATTGTTTTCTTACCATTGCTGTTCCTTTGTCTTGTGCTAGTTTTGTGTTGTTATTTGTTTTTAAATGTTTTTAAGAATTGTAAACTGCCCAGAGTAGCTGAAAGTCAGGCAGCATATAAATGTAATCAGTGATAAAATAATTGGCTCTTATGACATACCCCAGGGTTAATAGTTTCAAACAGTAGTGCCCTTGTATCATTTCCTTGGGAGATTATGGGCCATAGCTAAACAGAGCTTCACAAAATACCAGTAGTCCAGAAATTGTAGGGTTTCTTTCCTTATAGCACAATTTGTGGCAAAAGTGACTCATCAACCTGCCCAAAGTTTTCTTGTAAATATATTCCATCTGAAAACTCAAGAGAATCGATCCAAATAACTGATACCCTCGGATGAGCCTAGAATTGCAAGGCTCCTATCTTTATTACTGCTTTAGCCACAAGTAATTAGCACAATAATGTCCTAATTCTTCCAGGTCAAGGGAAGGTTATTTAGTGTTTGACTTTATTTCTGCATCCTTGCAAAGGTGGTGGTGGGGTGGGGGGGCAAGTCTTCTCAGAAGGAAAAAATTAGTAACTGCCATAAACATGAAGCTGGTCATTGTGTGTCTGACTTAAACTGGAATGTTAAGATTTATAACCTTTATTTCTCTAGATGTCCTGTTCCCATCTTGGGGATTCACAATAGGAGAAGCAATAGGAGAAGCTGTTGTCATGATTATATTTTCAATATTCTGCCCCACCATTAGAATCCAAATTAATGTAGGTCCAATCAATTATTTCAGCAAACAGTGATAATCTCTTATATTGCCTCAGTTCCTAACCACAAACTCTCAAGAATGAATTTCATCATTCCTTAAGGAAAAGACTTTTATTTACACGATGCCCCCAACGTATTTCTTTGAAATGTAGCAGGATTATCCATTAAAATATTATTTTTTAAAGTGCTCATAATGTTTGGGACCTATTTTATTATTTTATTTTCTGCAAAATACAAAATAACAAAAAGTATCTGGTTCTTTTCCTCTGCCAGATTATGAAGGGATAAAGATCATGTTTTTCTATTGTCTCCTGATGTAGGCATAGAGTTGTACTGGGTTAATTACAGAAAAACCTGGATGGGATTGAATCATCTTCCAAGCTCTGGATGAGCTTCCTAAACTGTAACAAATTGTTTGGTCATACCACTTGCTATATATGCCTATAACTGGAGCTTTTAATGAGAGTTGTCATCTCTCTTAGAGAAAGAGAAAGAATCACTTTCATTTGCTTAGTTTAAATTCATAAATGCAGATTTAAAGGTATATGTTGATTATGACAGAGATTAAAAGTAAATGAAATTGAGAGGGAGTTTTGTAAAGCAATCCTGTGAAATCCTATCTATGGGAGACTTTTTCTTTTACCACTTCCACTTAACATTCTAGATTTCAATTAAGAACCTGTCTTTTATAGGCAATTGTTAGTAAAATATCTTCCTGTGACTTTGCTGCTTTTCCTGCCACCCTACGTAGAAAGGTAAATGTGAGGTTATTGAGATAGATTTGTATTGCTTTTGGTGTCTGTTCTCTTCTGTGAGAAAACAACTATATTGGTTCTACTTCATGCTCCATAATTTCCTAGAACAATAGCATCAGCTCTCGATATTCCTCCAATTGGACTGGAAAACACAGTCTGAAATTTGTAAGTAAGGCTTCTGTTGCAGAATGTTGATAGTGAGTGGCTCTTGTCTGAAGTGTAATTGCTACTTTACTAATGTTGTACGATTGGATCTACACCACTTTGCCTGTATCACTTGAATAAGAGCACAGAGAAGGCATTAGAAACAATCTGAGCTGTGCAATTTTGTAAGCTTAGAACATATGCTCCTTTTGCCCTTAAAATAGACTTTTTTTATTTTCTGCATGAACAATTCAGCACATATCTCAGCAGTACTGTACGTCTATTGTTTACATGAATAGTGTGGTTGTGTGAACAGTAGAGACATAGAGGAAGTTCCCAAGAGAAGAATGCCTATGAGTGAAAGAATAACATAACCAAAATGTATCACAATTTTTACACTAAAAGGAATGAATTTACCTAATTCCTTCTCTTTGTGCACTCTTTGTAATAATAACTTGAAGAAAATTGATTTCATTATTTTTTAAAAATCACGAATCATACCTGATTTCTTTATTTTTCCTTCTTCTGACATGTGAAAATATTATGATTAGATTAGCATGGAGTTAATACAGTGTTTTTCTCCTTCCTCCTTCTGCTTGAGAGAATATAATACACTGAATCAATTAAATAAAAGAAATTTGCTTTTCCGTACATTTATTTATTTATTTTAGATATTAAAGAATAGTTACTCTGGCAGTCACATCAGTGTTTAAGCATTCATGAATACTGTATCATTAGATTTTTATTAGTATTAGTATTATAGTATTATTTCTATTATAGTAATGCTATTTCTCATTCTATTACAATTTCACTTGAGGAATATCTATTTTCTTTCATATTAATAAGATGGCTTGAGAAAGGTATACCTTCAAATGATATGAACTTTAATTTTAATAGGTACCTTACAATAGATATTGTATTTCCCAGGGAGGGGACATTTTTCAGGTTTGTCTAATAATGTTTCTCTCTTCTGCAGATATTGATGAATGTGCCTTAAAGACTCACACTTGTTGGAATGATTCAGCCTGTATAAACTTGGCAGGAGGGTTTGATTGCCTCTGTCCATCTGGACCTTCCTGTACAGGTGATTGCCCTCATGAAGGGGGCCTGAAACGGAATGGCCAAGTATGGACATTGAAGAAAGACAGATGTTCTGTTTGCTCCTGTAAGGTAAGTTCCTATGAAATTCTTTTTTTAAAAAAAAAAACACTTCTACCTTGATTTGGTGTTCCTGTCAGTTTTGGGTAAAAGTCCATCTTCAGAATGATAGCTGAGGTGGCAGACATTCAGAAATCCTACCAGTGACTAGAAAGAACTGTACTAAAAGACAGCACACACTGAACACAGTGTACAAGAACAGGTACTAAGCACCAGATCTATAGAGCAGAGGTCCTCAACCTTTTGGGCACCAGGGACCGATTCCGTGGTGAGAGGTTTTTCCGTGAACTGGAGGGGGTGTGGTTTTGTGTGCTGCCTGCATCTCGTGGATGGGGCTTTGCTTGTTTGTGCGGACTGGTTGCTGGCATGTCACAGCCCGGTACTGGTCCATAGACCAGGGGGGTGGGGACCCCTGCTATAGAGGCAAGGTTCTACCACACTACACAAAATTCAAGGAGCAGCTTGTTCAGAAAGGCCTCAGAAACAGTCAACCCATAGTGGAAGGGTAAAAGAGTACTTGGCATGGTGTACAGAAACATTCGCATATGTTGAAATAATATTATTGCAGAGTAAAGTTTTAATTGTTTATAGATAACTTCTGAGTGAATGAAGAAGGAGTTAATAAGAAAGAAATATTCACATGAGATCTCTAAATTTATGACTTTGGGGTCGTGGCAGTAAGCCACACATTTTTTCCCCATATCCACATCTTGCTTCCAAGAGTATATTACTATATTTGAAATAAACTTTTCTTTATAGATAAGTGATGCCCATTGAACTTCATTTGATTATAACTTTATTTCATCCCATGACAGTTTATTTATAAATTCAGCTGTGTATTTGAAATTTCATGATGCTGGTTTGATTATTACTGTTTTTATTCTATATTGAGAACTTAGGGGTTTGCATTTTACGTTCTTTTTTATTGTCAGTTAGTGGGTGGCTTGTAATGATTCTGAAATAAATTCATTGAAAGAAGTTAATTAAATGAAACAAAATTCAGGATTTCTTACACAGTTCTATAATTTGACTGTGGAATCCTGTTGGCCAGTTGTTGTTGTTGTTGTTGTTGTTGTTATTATTATTATTATTATTATTATTATTATTATTATTATTATTATTATTATTTTAAAGACATATGAAATTTTCAGTTCAGCTGAAGTATTTCTTTGGATCCTGCCCTACTGTCGACCTTAGAATTTACATCTATAAAAGCCATTATCTGAATTTCTCTGTTGACATGGATTTTCTGATTATTATAGTTTATATCGACATTCATGTATCTGATCACTGGTGATCACATAGACCCAAATTCTTAGGTCCTCCTTTGACTTAAGGGAAGGTCAGTGCCAGGCTGATGGAGTCCAAGGCCTCCTTAATCAGCTTTTTAAGATTTATCTTAGAGTGAATCAAGACTCAAAGGGCAATCAGCAGTGAACATTGATATTGGTAAGCAGCTAATTATGACTGGGAAAAATAAGGATTTGGCAAAGTTTCTTATTTTCTCTTTATACAGCTCTCAGTCACAAGAAAAAGTACTAGTTGCAAGCAGTGGCTTTATCTTCAATGGCCATTGCCTATACAATGAATCCTGAAAACAAGCTCAAGAGTCTAGTAGGAGGAAATTGGCACAGAGAGGCATCAAAAATCAGGAAATAAGCGTCTCATACTACCAGAATTCCTATATTATGGAAAGCCATGGGTCATTTAACCATGGGATTTTATATAGGTCATGATTTTCTGGATTTACAGTACATCATGTCCTTAAGTCACTTTTATGAAATACAGAGACTGAGTTCATACAACATACAACATACTAATCCAGAATTCAATAAACCATCTGTAGCTTCTTCAATATTTGCTGTATTTCTTTCTTTATTTTTCAAATTTATTTTTCAAACCACCCATCTCACAAAACAATTTTTCTCAGTTCATGAAGTCTGTGAATATTTATCTCAGAATACCGGTATTTCTGTAAACAATACTATCCTGAGTAGGCTACACTGTTCTGATTCAATGACAGTTTGCTGGAATTATATACATGTTTTTCTCAGCATTTGGTGCATTTGAGAATGATGAAGTTACTACCAAAGTACACTATTTACAGCACTTTCAATTACAAAGTTATTAATTAAGTCAGAGTATTAAATTTTATTTAATATCCTTTATCAAATAGTTCTAGTAAATTGTATATTTTTCCTGTACTTTTAATTGATTAAAATGGAGTCCTCTGCCTTTGCCATAAAATAAAATTTAATAAAATGTTCCAGGAACGAGACCACAGCTTGTGAAAATTTCTGTGAAAGGTCTAATTGACTATTACAGCTGCGTGTATGTAGAAAAAGATAGTCAATCCCTTACTGATGTTATCCAGTGCCGTAAAATTGTGATATATGAAAAATAGCTCTTCTTTCTTTTCTGGAAAGGACAAGAGTTTATTGCAGCTACTATTAAACATAATCTTGTAACTATTCACTTTGAGTCAGTTTGGATTTAATTAAATAATAAATAAAAAGTATTTGTTCCTATTCATGAAGACAAAATATTTACTAGACAGTAAAATTCTAACATCGTAATTAATTAACTGCTAACAACATTCACTACCTTTAATAACCTGAGGCAGATTTATTTCACATTCTCAAAGAGGATCCTTCAAATCGTATGAGATGAAGATGAAAACAATAATGATGATGATGATCATCATCATCATGGTGATGGTGATCGTGATCGTGATCATTGGATTGCTACAGACTTCTCTTTAATCCTATTTGTTATAGTTGTTTTCGGGCCAAATGCAGGAAGTTTAGATTTTAGCATTTAGCATTTCTGTATTTAAAAAATAATAATGAGAGTCAGATATCCAAAATCGGTGATGGGCTCCAAAATGAGTGGATGAAACTTAAATAGAGGTGGGCTAATTCTCCAAAACTTGATTCAGTCTAGCTCAACATGTCACCATATATGGACATTTGAAATGCTTTATGTTCTGAATAATGAAATATAAACCTTGAACAAACAGGAACACAACACAACACACATTTTTTCCCATATCCACATCTTGCTTGCAAGAGTACGTTACTATATTTGAAATAAACTTTTCTTTATAGATACAGTAAGTGATGCCCATTGAACTTCACTTAAAATCTTTCAATTTATAGTCTCCTATTTGTTCTTTTTTACCAAGTCAGAATCAGAATGCACATAATCTCAAAAAGCAACACGTTTTAGGCATATTTACACTTGTTAGAAAAAAATGCATATGTGCCATTAAATTCCTTCTTTAATATAAAACAGAGACCTGGAAAGCCAGTCTATAGAAAGGAAGCCTTGCCTTACGGACCAGCTTTCCTACTTTGCCCCAGATTTTTCATGTTTATGACTAAGTTTTTGAAAGAAACGAATAATTCATCTTAAGTTATATAAAATATTTTGCATAATTGAGAAATTCTCCTTATGTGCTTCAATTACCTCTGTGTTCTTGGTTACATGAACTAGTATAACAGCATATTGGGTAGGGCACCGTTTTTGTCCTCCTACCAATCTTCTTCATCATAATGGGAAACTACAGTTAGAAGGCTTTGGATCGAAATCTCTGTTACCATTTTCCCCCACCCATTGATCCTCTGAATGCATTATTTGTTGAAATTTTCCATTTTCTACAGTTGAAAGTTATTTTATAGCCGGGTCTGCTACATATTAATTTTTGGCTGTCTTTCACAGTCAGAGATTTCTCAACTTCATTTTAAAAAAATGAATAAAAAGTGCTGTACATAGTTAGATGAACTCCTCATTACTTTTCCCCCTTATCTAAACTTCATAAATATGAAATGTGTTATGCTTTTAGGGAAAAATGTGCATTCAGTTTGTACTTTATTCCCCCTGGTGCAATTGAACATGCCTTATTTTACTGCATACTTAAGTTGGATTTATACTAATAGCAGTCATTGTAATTATTCCCTCCTCCTCCTCCTCTCTCTCTCTATCAATATACATAATGTAAAATACAAAAGAATAATAGGTATACTCCTAAGTAACAAGGTATAAAATATTGTTTTAAAAATTGACTTCTAATCAAGATATATTTATATACTTTTATTCTCTGGTATGTATCATACCAAATATAGAAAGTACATTCACTAGTTTGTACAATACATTTAATATGTTTGATTATTATCACTTTATATGATTAACTTTGTTTTAAATTGTAGTGTTCTCCCCCCCCCCCCATTAGTACAAGGATAAACATTTGTGGAGATTGGAAAAAAGTATGCATTTTTTTTTCTAGAACTCAGGAGTTTTCTTTCCTCACTTGAATTATTTTATGTTTGATAAAATATTATTACTGTTGATAAAACACCCTGAGTCAATTCCAGTCAGCATTGATAAAGGGGGAAAGATCCAGTCCAAGTCCTATGCTATGGCAGATATCATTTGTCACCACAGGGTCACATATTATCTATATGTCAATGATATGCAGTTCCATATCTTGACCCTTGGTCAGACAAATGTTGCTGTGGAAGTCCTGTCACAGTGTCTGGATACCATAAGGGTCTGGATGAGGAGAAAAAGGCTTAGGTTTAGCCCTAATAAAATTGAGTGTCTTGGCCAGTGGCAGGTTAAAGGACCTACCAGTCATAATGATTTACCATCTTTAATTTTGGATAGTATGGCACTGCCCCATATAGAACTGGTATGTAATTTGGTGATCTTTCTGGTCCTAGGGTCCTGCTCATCCTGTATGCTTACATCTCTTCCTGGATCAGGAGGCCCTTCTTTGTTACTCATATCCTAACCAACTTCCATTTGGGCTAATGACATAAGGTCTCTAAGGCCACCTAGAAGCTACAAATGCAGTTATGAATGCAATTATAGGCATCCATGTAATACAATTATAGACAGTTTTTCACCTCAGAGTCACAAGAGTAGATCACATGGCAGGGCAGACAATTTGTAAAATGGTGATATTTTCTAAAAAGCATTCTTAAAAATTAATCAATCAATAATACTTAGGATACAATGGGGAGAATGCTCATTTCTCACCTGTTGAGAATAATTTAGTTTAGAAATCAGTTGGTCAGCCAAAACATTAACAAGACAACACATCTTAATATTCCTTTCAAGTAGAACCTATTCTAACCTGGAGATAAAAAAACTCAGCCAGGCAAGTGCAGTTTCTGCTTCCTTACATTCCTATAACACTTTTTCTAATGTTTTTAAATTTTGACCAGTTTTTCTATAGGCACCATTGTTCCACTTACATAGCAAGACCAAGCAAGTCCATACAGTAGATTGTTTTTTGTGTGGGGGGGTTGTTATTGATGGCTGTAGTGCTCTTTAATGACATTTTTGTTTGCACATAAGTGCAACTGCTTGCTAAAAAAATATATATATATAATCCACAGGTCTGAGAGTAAACTCCAGTTAAAAAACTGGTAGCTATGATTTCACATTGTTTTATTTATTTATTTATTTATAATTTAATTTATACCCCGCCCTTCTCCTCATGGGACTCAGGGCGGCTAACAGCCTCATAAAAACTACAATACAAATACAATAATTAAAAGCCGAATTAAAAAGAAATATTTAAACAGGCCGATCAATTAAAATTACCCTTAAAAATCCCCTGAAACTTTAAAATCATTAAAAATTATNTAGAAAAAGATAGTCAATCCCTTACTGATGTTATCCAGTGCCGTAAAATTGTGATATATGAAAAATAGCTCTTCTTTCTTTTCTGGAAAGGACAAGAGTTTATTGCAGCTACTATTAAACATAATCTTGTAACTATTCACTTTGAGTCAGTTTGGATTTAATTAAATAATAAATAAAAAGTATTTGTTCCTATTCATGAGGACAAAATATTTACTAGACAGTAAAATTCTAACATCGTAATTAATTAACTGCTAACAACATTCACTACCTTTAATAACCTGAGGCAGATTTATTTTACATTCTCAAAGAGGATCCTTCAAATCGTATGAGATGAAGATGAAAACAATAATGATCATCATCATCATGGTGATGGTGATCGTGATCATGATCATTGGATTGCTACAGACTTCTCTTTAATCCTATTTGTTATAGTTGTTTTCGGGCCAAATGCAGGAAGTTTAGATTTTAGCATTTAGCATTTCTGTATTTAAAAAAAAATAATGAGAGACAGATATCCAAAATTGGTGATGGGCTTCAAAATGAGTGGATGAAACTTAAATAGAGGTGGGCTAATTCTCCAAAACTTGATTCAGTCTAGCTCAACATGTCACCATATATGGACATTTGAAATGCTTTATGTTCTGAATAATGAAATATAAACCTTGAACAAACAGGAACACAACACAACACACATTTTTTCCCATATCCACATCTTGCTTGCAAGAGTACGTTACTATATTTGAAATAAACTTTTCTTTATAGATAAGTGATGCCCATTGAACTTCACTTAAAATCTTTCAATTTATAGTCTCCTATTTGTTCTTTTTTACCAAGTCAGAATCAGAATGCACATAATCTCAAAAAGCAACACGTTTTAGGCATATTTACACTTGTTAGAAAAAAATGCATATGTGCCATTAAATTCCTTCTTTAATATAAAACAGAGACCTGGAAAGCCAGTCTATAGAAAGGAAGCCTTGCCTTACGGACCAGCTTTCCTACTTTGCCCCAGATTTTTCATGTTTATGACTAAGTTTTTGAAAGAAACGAATAATTCATCTTAAGCTATATAAAATATTTTGCATAATTGAGAAATTCTCCTTATGTGCTTCAATTACCTCTGTGTTCTTGGTTATATGAACTAGTATAACAGCATATTGGGTAGGACACCGTTTTTGTCCTCCTACCAATCTTCTTCATCATAATGGGAAACTACAGTTAGAAGGCTTTGGATCGAAATCTCTGTTACCATTTTCCCCCACCCATTGATCCTCTGAATGCATTATTTGTTGAAATTTTCCATTTTCTACAGTTGAAAGTTATTTTATAGCCGGGTCTGCTACATATTAATTTTTGGCTGTCTTTCACAGTCAGAGATTTCTCAACTTCATTTTAAAAAAATGAATAAAAAGTGCTGTACATAGTTAAATGAACTCCTCATTACTTTTCCCCCTTATCTAAACTTCATAAATATGAAATGTGTTATGCTTTTAGGGAAAAATGTGCATTCAGTTTGTACTTTATTCCCCCTGGTGCAATTGAACATGCTTTATTTTACTGCATACTTAAGTTGGATTTATACTAATAGCAGTCATTGTAATTATTCCCTCCGCCTCCTCCTCCTCTCTCTCTCTATCAATATACATAATGTAAAATACAAAAGAATAATAGGTATACTCCTAAGTAACAAGGTATAAAATATTGTTTTAAAAATTGACTTCTAATCAAGATATATTTATGTACTTTTATTCTCTGGTATGTATCATACCAAATATAGAAAGTACATTCACTAGTTTGTACAAAACATTTAATATGTTTGTTTATTATCACTTTATATGATTAACTTTGTTTTAAATTGCAGTGTTCTCCCCCCCTTATTAGTACAAGGATAAACATTTGTGGAGATTGGAAAAAAGTATGCATTTTTTTTCTAGAACTCAGGAGTTTTCTTTCCTCACTTGAATTATTTTATGTTTGATAAAATATTATTACTATTGATAAAACACCCTGAGTCAATTCCAGTCAGTATTGTTAAAGGGGGAAAGATCCAGTCCAAGTCCTATGCTATGGCAGATATCATTTGTCACCACAGGGTCACATATTATCTATATGTCAATGATATGCAGTTCCATATCTTGACCCTTGGTCAGACAAATGTTGCTGTGGAAGTCCTGTCACAGTGTCTGGATACCATAAGGGTCTGGATGAGGAGAAAAAGGCTTAGGTTTAGCCCTAATAAAATTGAGTGTCTTGGCCAGTGGCAGGTTAAAGGACCTACCAGTCATAATGATTTACCATCTTTAATTTTGGATAGTATGGCACTGCCCCATATAGAACTGGTATGTAATTTGGTGATCTTTCTGGTCCTAGGGTCCTGCTCATCCTGTATGCCTTACATCTCTTCCTGGATCAGGAGGCCCTTCTTTGTTACTCATATCCTAACCAACTTCCATTTGGACTGATGAAATAAGGTCTCTAAGGCCACCTAGATGCTACAAATGCGGTTATGAATGCAATTATAGGCATCCATGTAATACAATTATAGACAGTTTTTCACCTCAGAGTCACAAGAGTAGATTACATGGCAGGGCAGACAATTTGTAAAATGGTGATATTTTCTAAAAAGCATTCTTAAAAATTAATCAATCAATAATACTTAGGATACAATGGGGAGAATGCTCATTTCTCACCTGTTGAGAATAATTTAGTTTAGAAATCAGTTGGTCAGCCAAAACATTAACAAGACAACATATCTTAATATTCCTTTGAAGTAGAACCTTTTCTAACCTGGAGATAAAAAAAACTCAGCCAGGCAAGTGCAGATTCTGCTTCCTTACATTCCTATAACACTTTTTCTAATGTTTTTAAATTTTGACCAGTTTTTCTATAGGCACCATCATTCCACTTACATACATTCCACTTACATAGCAAGACCAAGCAAGTCCATACAGTAGATTGTTTTTGGTGAGGAGGTTGTTATTGATGGCGGTAGTGCTCTTTAATGACATTTTTGTTTGCACATAAATGCAACTGCTTGCTAAACAAAAAAGCTGTGCATTACACAGCACACATATAATCCACAGGTCTGAGAGTAAACTCCAGTTAAAAAACTGGTAGCTATGATTTCACATTGTTCTCTGTATAATAAAAATAAATGAGTCTGGCAAGAATTTAGTTTTCTTTTCTTTGGCCATAGGTTTAAATGCTTCCTTACCCTTAGCTCTCAACTCTTATCTTGTAACTTGCAGAATAATCAGAATGGGTACATTTTGTTTCAGTTTTGAAGGAAGCTATAAACAAGGATGGTTGAAGTCAGCACATCTGGAGGGCAAAATATTCCACATATTTCTTTTTCACGATAGACACTAAGTTTCAGTTTGATTGTGTGGTTTTATTTCTTGAGCTAAGTACAGCTGTCCTTTCAGATGTCCAAAACAAATATTTCATTAATGGATGTGTTAATTAAGGGTCTCCATAAGTTGCACATTAAATAAATGGCAATATAAATGCAACATTTAAATATGACTCGCTAACTCATTGTCAAACTCATCGTGATGGGTATATTAATTTATAACCTTTTATTTAGTGGCATTTGCTTTTATTGCTTCTTTGTTTCCTTAACAGGATGGCAAGATCTTCTGTCGAAGGACAGCTTGTGATTGTGAAAATCTCAGTGTTGACTTTTTCTGTTGCCCAGAATGTGATACCAGAGTGACCAGTCAGTGTTTAGATCAGAATGGGCATAAGCTGTACCGAAGTGGAGACAACTGGACATACAGCTGTCAACAGTGCCGCTGTCTGGTATGGAAGTAAAAGAAAAAAAAAAGAGCCTTAGAGTTTATAATGATCAACCATATTCTAGAGTTCAGAATGTTCATTATGAGCAAGTCTATTCTTTTTTGACACGACATTGCCATGTAGTTTTTCTAACATTTAGCCTATTCATAAAGCTGTTGCTGAGAGACTTAATAAGAAAGGGCCTGTCTCAGTCAAAATTAAATCTATTGCAGTACAATCATACACATACCAACTTAAAGTAATTATTTATTGAGTTCAATGGAGCATGCCCTTAGGTAAATGAATATAAGGATTGCAAATTTAATCATGTTTCTCAACAGAAAAAATGGACCTTCAATAATATTCTGAACAATCAGATTTCCATCTGATATAGTGCTAAATCAAGTGGTAACAAACCTCAGCAGAATATTTCATATTTGAATGTCACACAATTTCTTATTACAATCTAAGACAATTGTAGCTGTTAATGGAATCAGAGTCTTATACCAGTTTCTTTCTTCTTGTCTCTTGATTGATCAAGGCCTGGTTTAAAATAACTACTCAGTACTCCTTAAGGGCTCCCAAAGGGCAGCAACAATTTTCCATACTAGGCCGACAGACTCAGGATAATGCTGTTCCTAAATAATACAGCATTCTGCAGATGACCTACTGAAAAATATAATTCGTGTAGTATTTTGTCTGTTACAATAGGAACCAGAATCGCACATTTTGGGACTCCAAATGGAGCAGATTCCTCACACACGACATTACAATGGCAAGGAGTATAATGTGTCCATTTCATTATTATGCAAAGACATTTGCTCTTTCATTAACTATCTGTATATATTCAGGAGCATTTTACCCATGTTGTCTGATCATGCAAAAAAGAATAATGAAAAGTTTATGAGTGATGGTGCACTTTTTCAAAATTGTTTGGAAAGTTGCAAGTTCAAGTAAAACACTGACTACAAAATACACATTAATCTCTACAATGTAATTGTTGCTTCTTTAAAGAAACAATAATATTCCTTATCCTAAAACAGTGGTGGCGAACCTATGGCACGTGTGCCAGAGGTGGCACTCAGATCCCTCTCTGTGGGCACACGTGCCATGCCCCAGAGATAGCGAGGGACTGGCCCCCACCACCCTGGCTCCACCCACCCAGTCTGCCGTGACCACTGCGGCCACGCCCACCCGGCACCCGATGATAAATAAATGGGTTTTGGGTTGCAGTTTGGGCACTGGGTCTCTAAAAGGTTCGCCATCACTGTCCTAAAATCTTAGAATTTTACAGTTGGAAGGGATCACACACTGAATCCAATTAATTCAACAACGTGGACTTTCTTGTGTGTGACAACTTTGTCCCTGCACTCACCCAGAATAGTCTGAACCACTTTATCTTCATCTCCAGAGGCTAAGACACCTTATCTTGCTTCCGTTCCATTGTGCTTTTAATTATACAAGATTGTAGTAAGTCTCTTGTACTTGCTGGAGAGCAATGCAATAAATTATTTACTAACACATTCTTAGATGACAGTTACAGTATGAATTCATAATACTTTGTAATTATTTCTTGGTATTTATAAACAATCATGTAGCATTTTGCTTTATTAAAATAAGCAAAATCATCATTATTAAAATGATGTGAGGCACAAGTGTTGTTTTTTCCCTTTTTTCACTTCCAGATTAATATTTTGCATAAACTAGTAAATTTATTACAAACTGTTATGTCTGCAAGGGGGAAAGAGGCTTCTATGCAGGCTTGGATCTTGAATGTCTGAATCAAATGTTTTCTCTTTGTACAATGCATAGAATAAATCGCAGAGAAGGTGACTGAAACTTCAAACTTCTGTGACTCAAAGATTAAAATAGGGAATATTAGAGAAAGAGATAAAGGAAAAATCATATTCAATGCTGATTTTAAATTCTGTCTGTCTTTCCCTAACAAGAAGGCATATGTTCTACCAGGCAACTATAACAGGTGGGATAAAGATTCAGGATTGAACTCTGTGCCTGATAAAACACAGCCAAAGAATATCTATTGACTTGGGATTAATTTAAAATTTAAGAATCAGATTAACTGCATCCAAGATTATTGAAAGAATTTGCTAATAATCTGCCAAACTTTATATAATAGAGGAAGGGAAACATTTGTTGCTCACAAATGAGAAAACAGTATCCACAAAACTCCAGTTCAATCAGTCTAATACCATTTTTAGATATTTGAAAGATTCTACACTATATCATTTGGATTTCCAAATTATATTATATGTGTGTGAAATGGAGAAAGGGAATGAGAAAGGGAGAGAGAGAGAGAGAGACTCTGGGTGCCCTATAAATTGGATTTATGACAAATTAATATTAAATATGTTATTATATAATTGCCATATATAAAATAATTCTGTTAATTATTAGCATTCAGCAGATTCTAAGGCACATTTTTAACAGACATAACTAACTTAGAGTTCCTTCAATGAAGCAATTTAATTTTTTGAATAGTTCATATATAAAGAGCATCTGATATCCTTAATACGATCTGAGGTCCAGCCAATGGAGCATCTGTCCATTGCATAGGGCAATCTTATCATATTTAGATAAAATATATTTTGATCAAAGAACCCAGATCCATGAACAAAGTGTCACTGCATTATTGTATAGCTTATTGTGTAACTATCCATTTCTGCCCTGGTTTAATGCAATTGCAGTCTAAATATCTATTTTTTTATAATTATTCAATCATAATATTAATATTTTGATTGCAGAAAAAGTTGTTTTTGATGTTTTATGCCTTACACGAGTACCAATTTGTGTGTTGATGGATCTCTTTTGTTTTTCATAGGAAGGTGAAGTGGATTGTTGGCCACTTGCATGTCCAGCCCTGAATTGTGATTACACAGCAATGTCAGAAGGAGAATGTTGCCCTCATTGTGTCAGTGACCCTTGTTTAGCTGATAATGGTATATATGACATCCAAAAAACCTGTCTAGATGACTATGGAATAACACGGCTAAGTGGTTCAGTATGGACAATGCTTGGATCTCCTTGTACGACCTGCAAATGCAAGGTATTTATATAGAGGTCAAACATGGTGTAGCACAGAATATATATGCAGACTAGGTTTTCTTTTTAAAACAATTTTGCTATTTAATTTCAAACAGCAGTAAGGTGGTGCAGTACAATGAGTATACCATAATAAAATTATGCAAAACTAATTATGTGATTATCCTGGGAGGCTGAACCAGAACTATTCAATTGCTCTTTAACTTTAAAGTAGTGTTCTTACACCTTGCAGAGTTTTTATATATACATATAGAATCTTCTTCTTGTTGTTGTTGTGCCATATCCGTTATTGGACGTTGGCGATCATGTTGGTGATCCTGTTTTTGTCAGCAGCCGCACGAAAAAGTGCTGCTGAGTTTTGTCCAAACTAGTCCCTTAGATTTTGAAGCCATGATGTTCTTCTTCTGCCTGGACCTCATTTGCCTTCAATCTTTCCCTGGAGGATTAAATGGAGTATGCCGTATTTTTCTGGGTGTCGCATCACATGTCTGAAATATTCTAATTTTCATTTTTTTAATTGTTTTGATGATTTCCCTTGGCTTTCCCAGGCGGCTTATCACCTCCTCATTTATATAGGATATAGGATAGTGACATTTAGGATAGTGACATTTATTACAGGTATGCATTATAGTCATATATACAATATATCTACATATGCACACACATACCTGCTTTTTAATGAATCCCAGTTGTGGATGCCATATATTTATGTTAAATTGATAAATTCTAAGTGGAAGAACCCTCTCTCTTTTCCTTTAAAAGAAGTGAATCATGCAGAACAAAGATCAGAGAAGATATGGCTTTCAAGTGATATTTCCAAATTAATGAGAAGATGGTTTTTTTGACAACATCTTTTCCAATTTTTAAAATTAATCATTAAAAATAAACAGACATTAAGACATTAATATCAGTTAAGTAGACAGAGAAATGGGGAAAAAATGTAAATTAGCACTCATAAAGGATAAAGGATTAACCATAAAAAGCAGAATGGGTTTTTTTAACAAAAGAAAAAAAAGGATTTTAAAGATCTTCTTAATTCACTGAGATGGTTGCCAATATTTCCATTTATTTAGGGAAAAAAGAAGCAAAGAAAACAGTGAAAATTATTGAGTAAATACTTGATGTCTTTCACTGTACTCCATTCTGTTGATATTAAGGGGTTTCAAAATCTTCAATAATAGAAATGTCCACCACAATAATCTAGTGTTACTCAGAATTCGATAGCAGACACCTGCATCCAGAGGACTCTGCCCTTGTTCATCATTAATCCACAAGACTAGACTAAGCTATATTTTCTATTTCCACGGTGGAGGAAAACCCTGCAAAAACAAAGCCTAAAAAATGGCCATACACTTTTTAATAATATCACTGATTAGTAGATGATAATCTGTAGTCCTTTAAAAGGTTGAAAGGCTTGTTGTGGTCCCCAACCAAAATTGTCCACCCCAAGTTTAGTGGAATGAATCCAGCTACATGTGCAAGCAAAATTAATTTCAATAGAGAATCATAGAAGAAAGAATGTTTCTGAAAAACTATTAATGCGTAATTCTTTAAGATAAAGTAAATTTTATCTGACTTCTTGAGCATATAATGCATCCAACCTGATAATATGTTAACTGGAACAATATATCACATTTATTGTTAAATTTGCCATGGAAATAAGAACATGAGAACTGTACTGAATTAATCCAAAGCTAGCCCTATGGGAAGACATGCAGGAACAGAATAAAATTGCATTTCCTTTTTATAGCATAATGCTTATCCTTCATATGTCTGATTTCCTTTTAAACTAATCTAAGTGAGTTGCTCAATATTATGTAAAGAAGAACTTCCTTTTATTTCTGTTTAATATTTAGCTATATTCTATCATCACTCTATCAAAGCAAAATTAAAAAAAATTCAGGTAAACTCTTGCCTCTCACCATCTATATTTTTAGACTCCTTTGTCACAGTTCCTCTTACTTCCATTTATCTAAATCAGAGAATGCCAAATGCTGTACTATTCCTCATATGGAAGATGAGGTAACCCATAGATACTTTGGTTCACATTTTGCATATCTTTCCCAGATTGACATCATATTATACACCCTATTTTTTTTCTTTGCAGATGGTAACTCAGGTAACTATAACCTCAGCAATTCTTTGTGTAAGAGGATTTGGTCACATGATTTATTATATGTGTAGAGTAAGGACAAATTTACAACGTTCACATTATCCTTGAAAAAGCTTATTTGGTCTCTCTTACATTAGAAATAGGTTTACAAAATGCTCATGTTAAAGATCCAGGTTGCTACTGTCCATATGAGAAGATTTATTTTCTTCACTTGCATTAATCTCTCCTTTTTATCTTTTCCTTCCCATTCTACACAGAATGGAAATGTCTGTTGTTCAGTGGATTTAGAATGTCTTCGCAATAACTGAAGTATAAAACTGGGACAATTCTTTTTGTGAGGAAAACTGATGCAATTTTCCACTTTCCAAACAAATGCAGTGTAAGTAAGAGGTGGAAGTTTTGTACAACAGACAATGATCTAAGTCTCCGAGGAAGATATTTGGGAGTTGCCTTTGGGACCTATCACTACACTTGCTAGGCTTCTCTCTACTTTTACAGTAAAATGCATATAAATCAATGGTTGTTAAAAGTTTTGAGTGTTGTAAATTACACCCTTTTTTGTCAAATCATTTGCAAATGCATTAAAATTATTCCATCAGTAAAATGCAGTGTATTGATTTGTTTAATTTTGTAGAAAGATCACAATGGAATTTCCTGTTTTATTTTAGATTTAGATCAAAGTTCTACAAAATAAGGCTGCCTGTGGTTTTGTCTCATATTATTGGCTATTTAGTTTGGAGGTCCCTGTCGAATGTATTTATGAAAATATGTATGTATGTACAGCCAAATTGCATAGTACTTATATTTCATAGCTGTCAAACATTGTAAAACATTCCAAGGTACATTTGACTTCTACGGGCTGAAAATAATCGAATCCCAGCCTATCTTTATGAAAAAAATAAATAAGAAGGAATAATGTCACAAGTTTAATGAAGTGGCAAAAAGCACTTTCTTTTGCAGACAAATGAACTAGCAGCAAAATCCCAGAGTGGAAGAAGAAATACAAAATTATATTGTTTTCATCAGCAGTGCTCCTGAGCTTAGTCCGAACACCAGGCCATGTTAAGTTTAGCAAAATGTTGTAGTTTACAAATCAAACAATAAATATTGAATGTAGGTGGAATTCATACAGGGTTGTGTAGCATTCAATAAAGCAATCAAAGGGCTTTACATTTACAAGATTGTATGTGAAAAGTGATTTTTTTCATATTGTTTACATCAATGAACTTGAGTTTATGATCTCTCTCCTCAGTAGTTGCTTTGGTATAATAACATCTACCATTCTCCATTGCAAATGATGTAATGAACAAGTTCTTCATCTGTTCCACATTACAAGTTGTAAGAAAGGTGTAAATGTCACTGCAGTTAACTGTAATTTCAGTAGATCACATAATAATCTCCCGGTTCCAATTTTCTTTCAATGTATTACATTCACCCTTGGCTCTATTATCCCTCTTCTGACATTCACCCAAATGTAATGTATTAAGTTAGTTGTCTGTAAAATACTACTTAAAATCATAAGCTTGGGCCCAAATTGTAATTAAACATTTGAACTGTGCGCAAAGGTTAAGCTTGAACGATAGATAACTGCTGTGATTTTTTTGCTAGGCTAAGACTTTGGTATTATTAATACAAGTCCTGTCTCAGCCTAGAACTGACAGCTGCTGATATCCAACTGGTTTCCATGCACAATTCTCCTCCTTCCAAATAGCATTTCCTGTACAATGTATGGCTGTATGGGAACTGAAAAGTGAAATTTTCCACATTCAGATGCACAGCCACAAGCAATGCTGAACCTGATCTTCAGCTTTATAAACAATGCAATATGGCACATTGGGAAAAACATCACTGGATATAAATGAAAGGAAGACAAAGTCCCTACCCTCCACTCTCTGCAAGGATTACCTTTGAAACAGAAGGTTGCTTGCATTAGCATAGGGATGTAGCCAAGTGAGGGGCAGGGAAGAGGTAAAGGCATCTACTGTAAATGATGCAAATACGTAAGTGGCTAGAACAGAATCTGGAAAAATGTCGAAAGCTTCTTCCTTCTGAGTCATTGAGGGAGCAAAGTCCACAGACGCAGCATCTCCTTTTTCCCTTATTTTACTAGAACCTCAGGTTGAAGATGCAAAGGCAGAGACTGGCATTTTCTCACAATACATGAAGCCCCCTCAGAGAGGATGCTTTTGCCTTGCTTCCCTTGAACAGGGGTTAGCATCTGTAGGATTTCATAAAGACCAAATAATATTTTAAAATCTTCAGTAGTCATACCTAGTAGGAATTGTTTTCTTCCCTTCACACACACACACACACACACACACACACACACACACAAACACAGAGAGAGAGAGAGAGAGAGAGAGAGAGAGAGAGAGAGAGAGAGAGAGAGAGAGAGAGAGAGAGACTGTTTTTTTCCTTCCCTTTCCAGTTGGACCTACCCCTTCTTCATTCTGTTCATTTGGTTTGGTTTGTCATGGTTTCTCCTGGAAAAAAAGAAGACTATGGTGTGTCCTCTGTATCTGGTGTCAGTATGTAATCCATGTATAAAAGAGAATAGTTTGTATATGCAAATAGGGAAAGCAATTAATTTTAAAAAATCAGTGCCTTACTTTTCAGGCAATTAATTTTAATCGGTAGTTACTAATTCAATTCATATGAATTTAATTTTTTTGTCCTCATCCTAATCTTTTTGAGGAATGTGGGGTCTGGCCTATCTGACATCCATACCCACATGTAAGCATGTCTTTCTCACATACAGTTAAGGCAAGAGCAGGTAAATCCTAGGTTTCAGCTATATATTGCAAAGAAATCAGGCAAGGCAGAGTATCTTTATGTGTGTTTACAATCTTTTCTTCTATCTAATTTTCCTTGTTTTCAACACACATATTAAATTCATACTTCTCTTCCTTTTGGGAAAATTCAGTTGTTGCATCCGGACATTCCTGTTAAGCAGAAGGAAGGTATCTTGCTGGCACTATTGCCCCTGTCTTGAGTCACTGGGTTTTCAGAGCATTTGTGGTCTTTATTCTGCTTAATTACCTTGTATTATCTTTGATAAAACTTGGGGGAATATTCAGAACTAGATCCTGCACAGAAGTATATAATGTTTGCAACCAAGAAATAAAAACCTGACTCCTAAAAAAAAAAAAGAAAAAAAAAAGAGTGGTCAAAGATAGGCTGGTCTGCTGAGATGGGAGACAGGCAGGAGCATGAAAAAGTGAAGATGAGGTGGGAATTTGCACAATCTTTTTTTGTATAATTTTTATTATGTTTTTAAAAGATAATTTAAAACTGATACAAACTAATATAAGGAAAAAGAAAAGTAAGAGAAAGAAATGAAAGCAAAAGCTAAAAAAAATGCAAAAAAGAGAAAAAAGATAAGAAAAGATGCAAAGAAGTAACTTCCGATTTTCTTTACAGCAGTTATAAGTACAATAACTTATACTTAAATTTATTTCATATTGTATGGTTACAACTCTCTTCTCTCTATAATTTAATCTGTCTAACCATCAAAACCATAATTCGTAGGTCTATTTCTTCTCTTTCATGGAAAGAGTGGGGTTTCCAGGCAGCAATAAACATAGATATTGTCTTTTCTTTCATCAAAAAACTCAGTTCATTCATCTCAGCTAGTTCCATCAACTTCACCCACCATTTCTCCATTGTAGGTAATGATTAATCTTTCTATATTTATCTATACAACAATCCCACGCCAGTTATCATGTACAAAAAGTTCCATGACATTTTTTCTAGTTAGAACTTTGTACAATCTTGGGTGCCATCATTACTTTTTTGATGTTCATCGAAGATGCTTTCTTTTGGATACTGATAATGAAAGGATAGGCAGAATCTGGCTCCATATAAGTTTCAAGAATCACTGTACTAAAGAGATATTACTTAATATTATGAAAGGTCTAGGGTTGTGTACACACTATTTAAACTACACTGGGCATTAAAATTTACCCAGATATAAGTGATAACACTGCAATGCAACATAAAATGTCCTTTGATCCAGTAGCTTTGATGCACACAGTAGAATTATTCAATGCATTATTTACTTCAATGAATTCAATGAAGTGAATTCCCTTCATACATAAAATGAATGTAAATGTACAAACAATTCCCCATCCCAAAAAAAGGAAAAACAAAGGCAGCCCAATGTATGTAGGACTCCATCTTTGCTTTTCATTTTTAAACTTTCTTCCTTCTTGACATACACTATGTATTGATTATATTGGCATTGCTTAACAATGGTATTATAAATTGTGTTTTTTAAAATCCTCAAAGGACATTTGTAAACCATGCCATTAAAGCATTTTGTAAACCATATTGTAAAGCCACTGATAATTCAATTGGAGATAAAACCGTGCTTTGGGATGTAAACGGGAGTGTTTTAAAACTTGTGGCATCTAAATAAACTCCTGAGTACAGATCTTCCTGCCTCCATAATTTTGTTTCAGACTTGGTGTGTGCTGAATTTTGGAAAATTCCAAATCTGGGAACAATAATTTTAAAAGATCTTTCTTGGGCAATTTCCTTGATTATATCTCAGAATGGGGTAGGGGAACTATAGATCTGAAATAAGTTAAGGTATTATGGGCTTTTTAATGTTCTGATCCTCAACCATTAGACTACATTTCTCAATGGAGCATACTTCACAGTAAATGTATCATATATAAATTATACATTTATTAAAAATAATCCTTGTGGTATAGTAATTAATGAGATTTGATTTCATGTCTCTATTCAGCCACAGAATTTCTCAGTGACATTGGGTTTATATTATGGAGTTGCAAGAATAAAAGTTGGAGAACCTTGTATATTACTCTAGGTGACATTTTTTCAAATGCCACTATTAATAATTATTAAAGGAAAATACCACCTAACTGTGCTAGTTAGCTTGGGCCTCCAGCAAAGGGGTGTGTGTGTCAGCGCAATGGAGGTGGTTGATTGAGTAATAACAGATCCCACCTCCTCCTTGCTCCGCCCCCACACTCCCCATGTGTTTTTGGTTTTAATGTTTGTTTTTAACTTTTTATGTTTTAGCTTTTATGTAATTATAAGCCATCCAGAGTTACCCTATGGTAAGATGGGAGGCCAATAAATTTAATAAACAAACAAACAATTTTTTTATCGGAACCAAAATCAGAATATCATATTTGCATAATATACAATATACATCAATGAGTAATTGTAAGAATTTTCAGTAGTCTAGGATCAACTGAAACATCTTCGAAAATTGATCAAACAGACTGAGTAACAGCAGAGTATAATATTCTAACCTTGGGCCAATCTATACTAGTATTTTTTTTTCTTTTTTACTGTAATCCCTGGTTTAGTATGATGCATTGGCTGTACTCCTCAATACATTTTGAAGTTGTTCTCTGCTATTGCTTCTATAACAACTTTGTTGGTGA